ACCTTGATGGGGCACATCGGCTTTCAATACCATGCTTCTACTGTAAATTCCGTACAAGTATGCACATCCTCTGGTGGTTCATAAGCCATTGAGCCACTGAGCATTAACCTTTTACAGAAAAAATAAAAATTACTCATTCCCACCCACGAATCAAGATTTCTTGCCCATTTCATTTAGAGAGCTGACTTTCAAATTAAGTGATTTAGTCAATTCACTCTCAGACTAACTCTTCTGTGAGTTTAAGATGAAGCAGCTGCTAAGTTTCAGAACTTATTTACAAAGACGAACAGAACTAGTTCCAAATTAAGTGCTTTTCAACTCATACTATTGTATTTCTCTCTAACAACAAAGCTTTCTTAACCAACTGCTGATGGAAACTGTTTCATCAATTCTCCCTTTAAAAAAATCTCAGCACCACACCCATCACACAGTGGGATTCTTTTCCTTACTTAATGCTAATTGCCTCTCATGAGACACCAATTCAATCATTCTTCTGCACAGTTCATCACAAGACAGTTTAATGATCCAGTCTTTTCACTGGGTTTTACATGATCTGGAGACTTGGAGAGGTTTACACAGTCATCTTTTAAATCCTAAAAGGCCCAAGAGAAAGATACAAGCAAAGTGGAAGATCAAGCCCAAGATACCTGTCAGTTCTTCCTATGCAAAAGCAAAATGTGACTGAACAGATCTGACAGTTATTCCCAAACTTTTGGCTAGTGACTTTTTCACTCTGTACTAAAATGACAGGAAGAGCTTGTATTTCATTATATCACCATCATCTTTGTTGCTTTTTTGCTGATTTCTAAGCACATAAAGGGTGCTTACTTACATAAAGGGATACAGCTGTGAAGTAGTAGCAAACTCATTAAAAACATTTAAATATATATTTGTGAGGTCAGCACGTGGCATAACAGGGAGATTACATAAGTAATTTTTGTTAACTGCACTCACAGGCCCAAAGTCCTCCCTAAATCAAATGAAGCACTGTCCTGTGCAGGGCCAGGAGCTGGACTTCAACAATCTTTGTGGGTCCCTTCCAACTTAGGATATTCTACGATAAGCACTCACCCGAACCCGAACGTAGCCTACAACACACCAGAAACATCAAATACTAATCCTGTGACTGCCCCCACACACAACCACAACCACCCAATTTAATTGCTAAGACTTTGGTTAAAAATGTAACTTTACAAACTACCATATAAAAAAAATTTGGCGTACCTGAAAAAAAAATTTAAAACTTTAAATATAAAAAGCAAACAGATGCCTACTTGCTTCAAAATTACTTACACACTTCTATTACAGAGTAATAGAAAATGTAATAAGGAGGCATACTAGGAAAAAAAAATCCCAAACCAACAACCTATGAAAGGAACAAAGATGGTTTCAAGCTTTTGAGAGGCGATCAATCCTAATGGCCTTCAAGGCACATTAACATGAAAACCAGACATGTTAAAATGCTCATAATTTTAATGAAATATATATTTCTTTTTATATTCTGTGCTTTTAACAAAAACATACAAAAAAAACCCTTGTTGCCACAACAAGTACACTCCAGCCAATATCTTCCCCCCATCCTGCCTTTGACCTGTTCTTGGCCAGTTTTAGAATTATACTGCTTAAGAAGCTTTAAGTGTGTGGCAAAGAAACCTACCATGCTCTACTATGTAGACTGCAAATCCTTCAACTGAAAAAGAAGAAATTAATGGGATTTTTAGAGCAGGACACATAACCCAGCAAAACACAAAGACCTGGAATGTCAACCCTTGTGTTTCTGACACAGCTGCTCAGCCACTTGCCATCAAAAGGCACCAGTCTGACAGCACACAGAAAAAGTCCATCAGGTAACTAACTCTGAAGTTTCACAAGCTGTCTGAAGTACAGATTTTACAAGATAATCTGACACACATTTGTCAAAAATTAAGTAATCTGCTGAAAAAGAACAAGTTACTGAAGAATCTGGCCGAGGATTTTAATTGACACTGTTCAATCTTTCTCCTACCCTTTAGTTAATTTGGAGCAACGTGACTATACAGATTTTGGTCAAATGCACATATCAATGGCAAGCCATCAATGCTTCTTGACTGTTGTGATAAATGACAATATTGGCTGTGATAGGGGACATATGTTTCAACAGGATCAGCACTGACACAGTCTTTTGTCACCACCATTTGTTCTCCTTCAACTGGATCTACACAGCCAACAGGAAAAATCACTGTCAGAGCCAGTCCCACTGCAAAAATAGCTGCACCAGGTGGCAGTAAAATGACAATTCCTCATCGTCTAAGCGCTGACAAGTCACCATGGAGGAGCATTCCTCTGAAAGACTTTGCTCTCCAAGGAGTCTGATAGTAGGCAAGATGAAGACTCAAATCCTGCTTTTTTCCCCCTCTATATACACTGTGTATATATGTTCAGGCAGACAGTTGCACAGATTTGTCAGCGTGCAATACAAAAACACTTTATCCGCTTCTTATTTTTTTGTCAAACACTACTTTTTTTTTTTTTCTGAGCAAACACTGCCTGTATGCTGATCTCAGCATCATCTTCATTATCCAGAAGTATTTAAGAATTTCAAGAGGAGCTTCCAGGCAACAACGATAATTTTTTTGACCACCAACAACACTGTGTTCATTAGAAACAATCTCTAGGGAGAATTGTGAGCTTTACCTGCCATGACACAGGGCATCAGACAGCTCACTGCACTCCCAGTCATCTAATGCATGACCTTCAAAACAAGTCCCTTCAGCAGTGTTACCTTGCTGCTGCATCTCACTTTCCAGCATTTTTCTCATCTTTTAATAGTACGTGGAGAAAAGACATGAGCATAAATCCATGCATGACGACTCCAGACATGACAAAATTGCCTTAAATAAATTCTAGCTTTTGGCTGGAATATACAGCCACACAACTGTACTGCACAACATCTCGTGCAGAAAGTCATACGTTCAAAGCAAGCAGCAAAACAAGGGGTTCCTTTAAGCCAAAAATATTTTGATTCTAACCGACAGCACTGTCTTTTTGTCTTTTGTATATGACAAACATTCTGTATTTCAATTCACCTCCATGGCAGTATTGCTTTTTAAGGATTCTACTATGGTCTCACGTTGTTCACGGCCCCAGAAAAGAAAAAAAAAACAAAAACAAGCCCACAAACAAACAAAAAAAACTCGAACAAGCAAAACACATCAGAAATTACATCTGCTGAATGAGAAAAGCTGATTCTCTGTTTCGTTTCCTCCCCGCATTTCGTAATAATTGGCAGCTAATTCAACTCCTCCAGTAGTTTCTCAGGCATTAGGCTGGGTCACTAAGTGACAAGGCAGTCCTTGCCAGCAGCCACCTGAACGAAACACCAACTGTACCCCTCACCCGAGTGTCATCTGCTGCCCCCACCCCACCCTCCACACACGCCCTCGGTGACACCACCAGGACCCGACGCCAAAGCGGAACTGCAAAGAAGAACATGAAACCATTTCAAGCAGCTTAAAGAGAGAACTAAATTCCGCGCTGCCTCTCTGTAAAGACAGGCGAGAAATAGTTTACCAGAAATTTCCTCAAAGGAGAACGCTATAATCATGTTTCCTCAAGAACTTTAAGAGTATATATCTAGCATGTAATTTTATGCATCTTCCCGTATCCAGATTAAATTCTTCTGTGCCCAAACCCACTTTCTCTGTCCAAAATACAAAAACAAAACAACAAAAAAACCAAAACACCAAAACAACAACAACAACAAAACAAACAAAAAAAAAATCACAGGGAAAAAACCCTCTACTGTACCACGCAAACTCTTAATTTGCATAGTTAAAACTAAACATTAGTGTTTAATAATCAACTCCAAGAGCACTGAGCATTTTGGGAAGCCGGATTAAAGGGTTACTCAAGTAACTTTCACCACGAATTTTTGCAGGATGACTAATGAATTGCGAGCTGCAGTTCAGCCACAATCACAGCGAGTAACCTGAAGTGTCCCCCCCCGACGGGGTACAGTACGTCTCAGGAAGTTTAAAGGACTAAAAAGCATCATCTCGTGATGGAGCACATATATTCAGGGCCAATTCTGGCAAAAACGTAATTTTCCCCCTTTCAGCTTCACCGAAGTCCACGTTATAGAGCCACCACCTCAGCACTACACTGTAGCGCAAACTCCTAGGGTTTGGCAGACATTAATAATTAACCTACTGGGTTGCAGCCCGCTAACGAGCTGAGATGAGCCGACACGAGCCGAGCCCAGGAGCTGTGCGGGTCTCCCCGCTCCGCACCCGGCGGGCGCTGCCCTCCCCTCCAGCCAAGGAGCGGATTGCAGCAGCACCCAGCACTGCAGCACTGGGCTTTCTCCGCGAAAAAGCTCACGGCTTCAGCACCAACTCCGCCCTCCCCACGTTTAAATAAATTAAAAAAAAAAAATAATAAATAAATAAATAAATTAAAATAAAAAAAAAAAGGCAAACGACGACAAAACATACGGTGGGGCTGAGCTGGATTAAGTTTCATCCATGCCAGCGGATCGTGCCTCTTCTTCCCCGCCTTTCCTCTCGCCTGGTTTGGGCTGCAACATGTGCCGGCCGCCGGTGCTGCCCGTGCGCCCGCGTGGTGTAACCCCACCCTTCCACCGCCCGGCACCTCCCGTTCGGGGGGAAAAAAGCGATCCAAAAAAACCCCAAGCCCTAAGAAAAAAAAAAAAAAAAAAAACAAACAACAAAAAAAAAACAAACAAAAAAAAAACCCACGACAAAACAAAACATCAAATTCCGAGTAAATGCACGTCTGCGAGCGTTCGCCTTTCCGCCGCCCGCTCACAGCGGTCAGCGCGCAGATAAAGCGAAGGGGCTGCGAGGAAGGAAAACCTCGCGACCTGGAAAACCAGGGGAGGTAAAAATTAAGTTAAAAAAATGATTTATTTTTTTTTTTCAATTTCCCCTCGCCCCGTCCCTCCTAAGCTCCTCTCGCAGCCGGCAGCCGAACCTCCCCCCCGCAACCTTCCCCGCACGTACCTTGCCCGGCAGCCGCGGGTCTCGGCCGGGGATGTTCCTGCCGCCGCCCCCGCCTCCACCATGCTTTTGTCCGCCCGCGGGGCTGCCCCTCGCCGCGGGGCTCCCGCCCCCGGCCCGCCGCCCTGCCCCGGCCCCGCCGGCCCCCGCACCTGAGGGGCGATGCCGGGGCGGCGCCGCGGAGGGGGCTCGTCCCGTCCCGTTCCGCCGCCGCCGCCTCCTCCCCCGCGGGGACGGGCGCTCACCGCCCGCTCCTCTCTCCCCTCAGGGCCGGCCGCGCCTGAGGTGCGAGAGCCCGCGGCGGGCGGAGCGGGGCCGGGGCGCGGAGCCGGACGCGAGGGGGAAGCGCACCCGCGGCGGGGCGGGGGCGGGCGGGGCCGCGCCCTCCTCACTTGTTGCCCTGTGGCGGAGCCGGGCGCGCGCCTTCCCGCGCGGGCGCGCGCACCGCCCGCCTGCGCCGCCGCCTCCTCTCCCCCCCCGCCCCCCACCTCCAACCCCCGCCAGGCGCCGCCGCGGCCGCACCGCGCGCTGCAGGCGGGGGGCGGGCGGGGACGAGGCACTGAGCGTCGCGCTCTCGCCGCGGCCCCACCCACCAGCCCGGTCGGCGGCGCAGCGGGTTGGCGGAGAGCGCGCGGCGCGCGCCCCGCGGGCCCGGGCGGGGCACGTGAGCGGTGGGCGGGCACGAGGGGCCCCCGCGGTTGCCGGACGGCCGCGTCCCTAAGGAGACGCGCGGGCGGGCGGGCGGAGCTGCCTTCCCCACCCTGCTCCTTCCCACCACCACCCCGCCCCCGTCCCTGGGGCTCCGCGGGGCCGCCCCCGAGCCCAGCCGGTAAAACGAGACGGTATTTACCTCAAAAAACGTGGGTTTTTTTGTGGGACGAGCGAGGGGAAGGAGGTGCCGCCCCGGACATCACCGCGCTGCCGTTCGCCTTTCTGCCGGGCCAGGTGCTGCTCCCTCCCTATGGAAACAGCCCCGAGCCGGGCACCCTCCTCCTCCCGGGGGGGTGGCCCCGGGTGACACCTCCCTCCTGCTCGGACGGGGTGTTTTGCAGCGAGCTCTGTCTGTGTGGGCATCGCCCTACCTCACCTTTTGGCAATTTTCCTTTTTTTTTTTTTTTTTTTTTTTTTTTCCCCCCACGGCATCAACCCCTCATCCATGCTGGAAAATGCCGTTCCACGTGATTTTGGGTTTTTTTTCTCTTAAACGTTCCTCCTTTTTAAGCCAGGTAATTGCAGCTGGCCCACCTTTACGTGGACCGTCTTCAAAGCTTTTGTCACCGAGACCAGGAGGGAGGAGAAAATGAGTGTTTTAGGCTGTCGAGGCTTCCCTGAGTAAATAAGTTTCTGAGAATTTCCGATTTTGGAGATTTGCCTTCCAGGGCTGATACTAATCACTCATGACTCATTCATTAGTAACCCTCTTTATTTTTTGTGTTGTTCTTTGCTTACTAAGCTGATGAGACTACAAATCCTAGCCAAACATCCCTGCTGAAACAAACTAAAGGAATCTCTTTAAGACCTGGGATGCTGACTGAAATAAAACATAAAAATGTGTGCTGCTACAGCAAAGAGTGGAGTCTTCAGTCTTGAACAGATCAATAGCAACCAGCAGTTCTCACGGACGTGAACCTCACAGCTTTTTGTCCTGTACAGGGTGAAAATGAACACGTGCCAATTTGTTTCTATTTTTAGCACCTGCATTCTGAGTCCAGTATAAGGAGAGGCCCAACCAAAGGAATTATCTCAATGTCACCTGGCACAATCACTTAAAAGCTGTTTTCACTGCAAAGGGAGTGGTAAGGATGTCCCCGTGATCCACGAAAATACACATTGATGCACTTCCATTTTACAGCACTCATTTTCACCAAGACTCACATCAGCATAAACACAACTGGTTTGGCAAACATCATGAGTACCCACAGCACATACTGAGCTCCCCATACTGTGCCAATGAATGCCAGTGGAAAACCTGCAGTGAGACATTTGGAGCTGCTCTTGAAATCTCTCAGGAGTCTGGAAGAAACGTTCCCATTCACAGTGCATTGGGAGAGACATTGCATATTTCATTCCTCTTCAAATATTAATATATGTACTTCACGTTTGAGTAAAGCTGTCTTTTTCATCAACACAGAAAGATTACAGCAAAGGGAGGAATTACCCTAAATCAGCAAAGCATCACTGTCCATTAAGTAACACAGGGCTGGAAAGGAGAATTAGGTGTCTGGCAGCCAAGAGCTTGGCTCCATTACATGGGAGATTTCATAACAATATGTTTTGAGATCAACTAAAGAAAAAAAAAAGAAAACAAAGATCAACTATAGCAGTGTATCATGTAACACTGGGTGATAAGGAGCCTGGAAAAACACATTAAAGCTGAAAAGTTTGGACAATGGTGAAATGGTCTGCTGTCTTTGGGGGGAGGACACTTCTCCCAGTCCCACACCCATGGCCGTGCCTGCTCCTCTGTAATCACACCGACTTAACTGGTCACGGGGCTGCATTTTGAAACCTTTGGTGGGGGGGAGGTGTTTTAATCCAAATATATTCCCTGATGCAATTGGCAGCCTCGAGGGTTAGCTGAAAGGAGGAAAACACCTAGGACCAACACTGCCATGGAGCACAGCATGTTTTCAAACAACTGCTTCACTGTGATGCCCCTGCTGTGCTCAGTGCAGCTACACCCCAGAAACGCCAGCAAAGGGTGAGGCCGGAGCTCACTTTCCAGCCCTGCTCTCCCAAGCAGGCAGATCAACCTTCCCCAAATCCGTGCGTCAATGCCAGGCAAAGCGTTAAGTCTGGGGAGGTTTCTTACTGATGCTGCCAATTAACAGGTCCTGGTTTGAGTACCAGTGAGCACAGCACTGTCCTGCACCTCATCCCTCTGCAATGGCACAAAAACTGCTCCAGCTCTAAACTCAAATCTCCCCTGACAGTCATCAGGTTTAACAGTCTCATTAGCACAAACAACCCCACAAAGCAACTCTCTCCCCCATCCCATCCTGAGATGAGATCTGCAAAGCCTGAGAACCACTCCTTTCCTCCTGCCCCTCAAACTCTCACTGGGGGCCAGGACACCTACCCCTAGGTTTGTGTCCCCACGGGGGGTTTAGGGGACAAGGTGGGCATGCTGGCTTAACAAAAGGCTCATCAACTCCTTTGCAAAGTGAGGGAGCAGGGAAGGCCACGTGGAAAGACAGCCTACCTTCTTTAAACCAGCCTCCTTCCTACACCCCTCTCTGCCTGCACTGGCTAGTGTAGGGTCATGCTAAGCCCATGCCAGCACCCCATCTTGTTTAGAAGCACCTCAGCCACTTCAGATTCATATGTATTTTACTTTATTTAATATATCTTTCTCCCTTTTTGGCAGGCCCTATCGCTTACAAGCAAGCAAGGCAGGAAAAAACAACACTGCCAAGCAAGGACACAAATCCACCCAATGTCCTGCCATCCTGTGTCATGACCTGATACAACCTTATCCATTAATTACTGAGGAACAGCTCCTACCAGCACCCAGATGTGCTGTTCCCAAGCTTTTGCTGTTGTTGTTGACATTGTTGATTTGACAGGGCCTGCTGAGAAAGAGGATTTGGTATCCAGCTATTGAGACAGGTAGTGCCAGAGTAAGGAGTAACCTCATAAAAATATACTTTTTAAAGCACTGACAATGAAGCAGACACTAATTACATCTTCCAGGGAGTACAGTCCCTAGGCCACCTCCAGCATGCACTGTAGGATGAAGCAGGACACAAGGGATCACATCTAAACACAGATGTACAACCTCTCCTGGATGGCCGGTTGTGTTTGGGTGGAACTAAGGGAGGCCTGAAAAATGTGCTATTAAAGTTATTCTGCAGTTTGCTTCAATAGAAGAAGCAGGATTTTCATGTTTCAGGTCTGTAAAGCTAAGCTTTATGACGGACACAGTAGTAAATTGTTGCTCTTCTTTTTTTTTTTTTCCTCTCCTGAGAAAGAAAGCAAATGCTTCTGATTGCAGCAACTTTAATTTGGTCTGAATCTGGAATAACTATTTTGCCTACATATTCAAAAATACCACCTTCACTCAGCATCATGATTAGATGCAGTGTACAGCCCTTGTCAGGGAGTTGCAGGGCACCAAAAGTTTCCCAGTAGCAGGTTACAGGGAAGTTGTGTGTTCAGGGCATTAGATGTTATATCACTTGGTGACACAAATTCTTCTTGCCTGAGGTTTTTCACAGGTAGGACGATGTGCATGACAGCCAGAAAAGAGAATCTTTTTAAAGGATTCAATTCTCACTTTTTATCAAGTTCAGAATAGTTTCTGGGGGTTTTTTTCCAGGCTATTTATTCATAGCAATTGGGTTCACTGTTAATAAAAGCTGACCTAGGGACTGCTGCATTTACATTTATGGAAATGATTATGTACATTGGCCTTTTCTCTAGCATTTGCCTGTTAATTAATAATTGGTACATTGCCAGGAGCAAAGGAGAAGTAGGAATGAGTCTCAGGTTATAAAACCTTCAAGGTTATCTTGCTCTCCCTGTTCCACTGCAGCAAAGCAAGAGCAAGAAGTCAGACAGAGCCAGGCTGCTGAGAGATGGGGACCAGCCTCAGGGCACTCGCTCCAGGGGGCCATGTGCTGCATTCCTGGGGGAGCCACATCACAGCACGTCCCATCCCACATCTCTCAGTCATTGCAGGGGCTGCAGGCACGTCCTGTCCTCCCCCAGCTACTGGAAAGCAGCAGGCACAGGATTTTCCTGCTTGCAGCCACCCTTGTGAACACGGTCGGCTCATCCCCCACAGCAGCTTTCCACAAGGGACCAGCACTCATCCCATTGGAAACACTGACTAGCTCCTTTCCACAGGGAAACGGACTGGCAGTCATTTACATTATGGAAGTGCTCGTCCCAGACCCCTCACACCACATCCAGTAATATTACTGACATCTCAGCCCCTGCTCCAAAACTCACCACCTTGGCTGAAAATACTGCTGGCTGCAGGCATACATCTATTGGAATGATTCCCAACCTCCCTCTTGTAAATAGTCGTTTGGTTTTCCTGAGCCAAAGCCCTCCCATAAGGCCAGTGCAGCTGGCCTTTTCTGTGATGGACCAAAGCTTATCCAGGACACAGATCTGTCTGATTTTTGTGGACAGAATAGTGTGGCTGGAGGACACTTGGAAATCGTGGGACTAACCCGAGTGTACTTCTGTGACCAAAGAGGATAAGAACAGGAGATAAGATGTTAAAATTTAAATAATAACAGGAGCCTAAAGATTGCTCCTGTGGCATGTGAGCACTTCAGCAGCAATAAGGACAAAATAAAAAAGCAAAGACAACATGCAATTGGAGCTGGAGCATCTCAGTCCCTCCAGGAATGAACCTGTTTCTTCCTACCCAAATACTTGAGCCTGTAATTCAAACAAGCAAAGAACCTCTTCAGGGGTAGGCAGTGTTTGTCAGCAAGGCATGCCAGCAACACAAACACAGCATTTCAGTGGTCTCCTCA